GCAAGGGCCTGTAATTACACCCCCCCCCCCTCCCTCTCTCTAAATATCGAACTTGCGTGCAATTCTTTTTTGTAATTCAGGCTCTGGATTCATTTTAGATGTTATTAAATAGTAGTCATTGCAAGACTAAATTCAAAAGTTAACAGAAATTAAGCCTAAACATGTTTTTCCCCTAAATTGCATTAAACTAGAAAACCTTGGATTTGTCTATAGGGTTTGTTGGCTTTGTTAGTCTTCGCACCACTTACTGATTTTTAACTACCTTAAGCCTATCGTAGGTGTCCTGAGTGCGATGGAGCAGGATTCATTCGGAAGTCAGGAGCAGCCTTGAGAGCTAATGCAGCACGGAAGGACCAGGCCCAGATTGTGTGCCCTCGTTGCAATGGTCTTGGCAAGCTCAACCAAATTGATAAATAAACCTCGACTTGTACAATTATCGTTCTATCGTTCTATAGTTTCCCTACTTTCATTTTTAATCCCATGCGATTATGCGAAGGTTGATGTTTATATATAGCCGAGAAACACTGCAACTATTGGTGCCATTTTATCTGGTTTTCTTTCCCTTAATGAATAACATCTTGGTTAATATGGTCTTATGGGTGAATAATACTATATAGCATAAAGGAGACAATGTAACCCCCTCTCCGGAAGCCTGAATCTGAAGCAAGGCAGGACAGGTGATGAGATGTTGCTGGCCTTTCACAGGGGTCCATTATCCCTCCTCACTGATCGTAAGGGTGCTCTATCTGTCAGAAGAATGAAAGCAGTCGCTTCTGTTTTCTTGGATAAATTGGTCAATTGTATTGAAGCAGTAACTCATGTAACGATAATGTCAATTAATTGTCCCTGTTTTAAAATGGCTTTTTTCTTTCTTTCTTTCTTTGTGTTTTTTTTTTTTAGCCAGAAGAGCTGATTTTTCCAATGAGCATGTAACATATATGTATGGTGACCTAGTATATCACTTGGAGCGAGAATAATTTTTTCCAATGAGGATTTAGATGTTGGATTTCTTGAATATATCAATCCAGTGAAAATAATAAATTTAAATTTTTTTAGGAAATTTAATTATTTTTTTAAATAAGATTTAAAATTATTTTAAAATTTTATATAAAAATTACCTAAAGTTTAGGTATAGTTTTTAATTTTGAAAATTTGCTTTAAATATTGGGTTATTG